CGTCATCTGTTGATCTCCATATAGCTCACTCCATCCCACCTGAACCAGACTACATAAGCATCAGCTGCCTAAAACAACTGAGCGACGGATGCTTTCTAACCGCAAATTCAGGGTCTTATAACCGTGGAGTAGAACTGATCATACATTGGTGCAATATAGGCCTACGCTGCTAGTGCCTTGAAAATGTACGCGGTTATGTCCTTTGATACGCTACCGTCGTTTGTCACGCAGCTACCCAAGTACGAGAAGCAGTCAAGTTCAGCTAATTCCTGACCGTCTAGTTTCTGAACGGGACTCGGGGACACCCAATTTTGTACTGATTTACACTACTCTGAATATTCCAGTCTTNTACACTACTCTGAATATTCCAGTCTTCCCTTCGCTCCCTCGTGAAAATGGCAAGTCATGAGGCAGCAATCAAAAGCTCCACACGAAAGTGCATGGTTAATGGTTTTGAAAACTGAAACTGAAAAACCGAATGGGCTAATGTAAATAGTTACCGTCTGTATGATTAAAACCTTTTGATTTCTGTGTACCCTTTTTTCTTAAATTGTCTTGTGTGTATCTTTTGTATCTAGTATTTTAAGTTAAGTTTATTTTACCAGTTGATTGTAGCTTACCCTATTGTCACCCGAACTGTTTCCTTATTTTACCCACTACATTATATGCTTTCAGCCGTCAGTGGTGTTAGAATTCTCAGTAAGGGCTCTTTTACATTTCTTTTCTTCAGTTGTGTGATCCGATTTAACTCATATTTTCGGTTTAATTTAAGGTTTTTTTTCACTGCGGGTGACGTTTGTCACAGGCGTTCACGCTCGGGGCCTGCATACGCCTATGGAACCTCTTCATGTTTCTGTGGTACCGCTTTAGTTAGTTTTGTGAAGTGTTAATGGCTTGTTCCGTGCTTTCTGGTGCATTTTGTTGAACGGTTTATTCATTTACCCATTTCCCTCCGAAGCACAATATATGGCCGAGGGCTGGCAAGAAAGGTTACAAGAATTTTGCAATTTCGAATCGGTTTTCGAGGTACGTTTCTGGTGTCATGTGACATTCGTATTCTGCTTTGTCTTCTTTGATTTCACTAGGAGTAGGGATCTGTTATTTGGAGCTTGATTGAATTGTGCCATGGAGATTGATCCTACCTATTGAGAAAGGAATTCATCTGGCATAGAACAAAGAACTCCATAATGGAGAACTAAAAGGCATCGAACAGAATTTTTAACACTTGTTGGGTATCATTTAAGCATTAAATTCCCGATTTAAAGTCTAAAAACGATCATTTTTACACATTAATAGTAAAAGTGGCTTTTTGTCTCCATGTATTTTATACACTGATTGTAAACTCCAGATTCGGGAAGTGGGTCACGGTCAATGGATAACTGCTGACGAACGCAATTCATTTTGTCCATTAGCATGGGTAAAGGTAATCGAAATTGATGAAGTGCTCCAGGATTTATTGACTTTATTTTAACGCCTATATTGTTCGTTTTATATGATGTTCCATCCATAAACTTCACTGCAAAGGTCAGTTGTCATTATCCTCTGTGTTAGATGAGTTGCATTTCCTGCTGTCAGGGGCATATAGTCCGTTCGCAAATCAGTACGGTGCCTTAGCTAGGTATCATAGTAATAGCAAAAAAGGTCTTCACTCAAGAGCGCACAATCTTTCGGCGTTTTGCGTCTCTTGGTTTTTATCTGGTGTTCGGAGCCATGCGGATCATTCATGGGCCTAAAATCTAGCTCTATTTGAATGCTAGTCGGGATGATTTGGTTTCTCTGACAGGATCCGTTCGTTTTACTTTCACTGTACACAGGCGCACACTAGGTCCTACTAATGGCTCTTCGGCGTTCGAGTTAAGCACACGAAGCGGTACATAGGCAGGACACCGTTGGCGATTCAGTTGAGGTTCACATGCGTGGTTATTTTGATGCTGAAAACCGCCTTCGAATATACACAGGGCACACTAACCTATCCGCTATTCCGGCTCCCATAGCTCGTTTGGCCTGCTCATAATTTTCTGATGAGCAGCCTATGTACCAGATTGAATATTAACGCACATTGTGTCCGCGTTTTTCCCCTACCGTTCAGAGGGTCCATTCAAAGCGGAGTCTAGGCTGACTCTTTAACTGTTACAGGAATGTAAATTTTCTCATTGTTCTGGTCTTTATTTATCGGTAGTGTTGGCATGGCGTTGATGGTCAGCGAGAGTATGTCTCATTGTTTTGGGACCGCGCTATCCATATACGAGTCAGATGTTCCCTGTTTGCGAGTGTTAGACATGATTTTTCAACTACGCAATTTTAATATCTGATACGTTGCCAACTTGTTTTGATTTCAGAAAACCCTTTCTGAATCGGCAACCCGTACTAAGTTTGCTACTCACTGTGAACAAGGGAAACAAATTGCTGAACACTTTCGAAGTGTGATGGAAAAGGTGTATGAAACTACAGTTGAAGAAAAGTAAGTGATCGGGGAATAAGAGTTTGCCTTATTCTTGGAAAGACTTAAAACCTTTCAGCACATTTCATATTTGTCCGTTGTTAAATTGTAGTTATCTTTTGATGTGAAACATTAAATTGAGTGTCTGAGATACTTTTAAGGTTGATTTGCCACTGGATTGTTTTACCGAACACCACTCACTCCTGCTCATGTTATTTGCATCGTGGGGATGTTTTCGGTTTCAGTGTGCAATTTTTACAACCAGTAATCATGCATTTTCATGCGGCGGTTTTGGTTGCTGTCAGATGACTTTCCATTTAGATGAAGGAGTAGATGGAATATTTGGATGTTCTAACTAGTGTCAGAGTAAACATAGAGAACTAAGGAAACGGAAAGCCAGTCCCCGGGGTAATACGAAGATCGATGGGCCATCGAAAGGTTACTAACTCGTTTAGGGGAGTTTGTAACACTTGATCCTGGATTACCGGCATTGAGATATAGAACGTGCCTCCTGTAATCCCGGTCACCAGTTGAATTAAGGGGTAGGATATATCGAGTAACCTCAAAGTTGGATGGTAGGTGGGCGTATTCTGTGCGATCTGTTCAATAGGACATCGACCTCAAATGATCTGTGGATTTGAATTGCGGCTCTACTGGTTTTGGATTAAACTGTTTAGACCTCTTATATCAACCGCTTTCTATGGCTAGAGCGACTGAATACTTCATCAGCCGACAACGTTCGTAATCCTTATGCACATGAACACGGACTCTGTATCTCCGCATTCCGCTTTATCTTCTACTTGCGTCATACTTTAGCAAGTCCACTTTCCCTGCCTCTTCTTCATTCGAAGTCCGAATTGAATAGGGATACCAAATGCATTTAAGCCTTTGATACTAAGTCAGTTGTTGATCCAGAGGCTTATTTTCTCCAAACTGAAATTCGCCTTGCACGTGGAGCTTCTTTTCATGCTGCATTGACGAACCCAGTGGTTAAAGGTATCACGTGAAGCATTTAAACTGTTGGTAAAAAAATTCAGATAAAATTCACTGACCTCTTCTACCTAGCCGGAAACACCGTGCGTACACAAGGGATGTATGAATAGACTCGCCGTAATTTTGGTGACAGAGTGCTGAACGAATGTACCGCTTGATGATGAGTCAGCTTTAACATCCCTCTGTTATGCACTCAATGATAACCTTAAGTAACAACGTACAATTATTACAAATGATTCAAAGAGCCATTCATTTTGTTTGACCCAACTCGGACGTCATTCATAAGAACTGTTTGCCTTAATCTCAAGGTTGACTGAAAGGTAAAATAAATAGAATCCCACCTTCAATTTCCAACGTTATGTCCACCAAGGTTACTCATAAAAAAGCTCTTTTAACATCCCTTGCATTGTTTTGTGAAATGATTTGAGCTGGACGCAGAAGTGCTAACAATTGTGGTGGTTGGCCATAATAATCGGAGTTGTTTCTTTCTGAAGAGTAGTTTCAGTTTCAGTTTGTGCAGACATTAATCGTACGCTTACTCGCGGCGGTTTTAGTTGTTGGATGAAGGAGTAAAAAGGGGATTAAAACGTTGGAAGCAATATCAATGTGAAGGTGATGAATTCAAATAGGTTAAGGTTGGGTAAATGCGCGACATTGACGTATCACCCAATACCTGTAGACATCGGTACCACTAATCCCAAAGCCCCATCCAGGTGCACGAGTTTTTGCATGTTTCTGATAAACGGACGGAATGGTTTCTACTTATTACCTACCATTGTGTGATGAACAGCACAACTGATACATTTCATGGTCACGAAGACCTACCCGGGAGCCTAAGTTATGGGACTTGAAGTGTCCACTGGGTTAGGCATAATATCGACAGCAAGGCTACCTACCGGCAAAGCGAGGTGGCCTTAGGAAGGTTCTTAATCGAATCTTTGGGACCAAAAGCACGCTAGTGAATCGCTTGGTCACCATCATTCATACATTTTTCACATTTTCACAATCTAGAGTTAAGAGTGCAGATGCAATATTCTAAGTAAAAGCCACTATTGAGCGTGCCTGGGAATATCATAGAAGCCAATAATTGAACGGGGATTTTATGCTTATTCGTTTCATAATATTTTTATAGGTTAGTGGAGCAATTAGTGTCTGTAATCGTCCTTTGAAAATCAAGTGTCATTTACATTCTGCTATTAGCTCTAGTTCATAAAGCCTATTTTTCCGGTATCCGTTGTTAATTAGCAGTACCTTAAAGAGAACTGTTCACACATTCCTAATTCACTGTTCGTTACCAGAGACGCTGCTGTTCGGCTTCGCTGCCTATCTCAGTCTCGTTTGGAGGAAGTTCGCTCTCGACTGGTGAAAACCAATCAGGCTCTCGACGATATGATACATACGTGTTTGGCTCGAGTAGAGGCCCAGGTGGCCAGTGCTCTGAATGCTGAGATTCGTCGTCTCGGTGAGCTGGTTGATAGTTACTCACGGCCATTCCATCCGGATCCGGCAATGTTGCATCTGTACAAACGAGAGTTGAACACACACGTGGAACGGGAGCTAGGGCGGAAGTTAACCGAGGCTTGTTCCAGTGACATTTTGAATGAAGTTTCTCGAGCTGAACAAATGATGACAAGTGAGTAATGGTAACAGTAATAATGATTCTTCCTTTTTATTGGATAATCGTTCGCGGTTGTTTTCATCCCGCCCGATCGCGGCATCCGCTAGTATCAGTTCACGTAAAACACGGTCGTATTGTTTCCCTGGTTCATTCAAAACAATTGTTCGTAGTTTCGTTCGCTCTTCGTTTTATTACAACTGAAACGAGTTTAGTTAGAAAGACAAAAACCTTGTAGTCCGGCAGTAGGCATTACAGTTATGATAATAATCATTTTACTTTATTTTTATTCATTGGGTACATGATTGTGCTGCAGTCTTGTAGGAAGGATCGCGGCCAGTCGGACTATTGGGGTTCATTCCCAAATGATGAACATGGATGCTGTTGATGGAATTCAAACATACAACCTCATGTTCACTGCAATGGTAATCACTTGGCCACCACCATTCAAAGTGTATCCGGATCGGGAATCCGCGTGACTGGTAGAAGTACTCGTCGTTGTACTACCGAGCCATACCACCGGCTTGTTGATTGTGCTTAGAGGTAGTGATACTGCAGTTGAGGAATGGTGTACCAGAGAAGTCTGTGTCGATCCTCGAAGAGTTGTATCGTCATACCTCAGGTCGGGTTAGGGCCTATGGCCAGCTTTCACCGTCTCCAGTGGAGTTTGATAAGGCTGCCCTATATACTCATTCCTTTTCAACTTCGCCATGGAGGAGGTTTTGCAGGACGGTTTGTCCGGTTTAGCAAACGGTGGAGTCAAACTCCTCTCAGGGAACAGAGTCCTTGACTTAGAATATGCCAATGACATCGCCTTGTTGGATGACTGCGCAGGCGGTCCAACAAACCATACACCACTTGGCGATAAAGGTATCCAGGAATAGTATGTGCTTTTCACCATCAAAATGAAAAGTGCTTGTTCAAAACTGGCAGGAGCCTGTGCCTGCACTCAACCTCTGTGGGGATCAGTTGGAAGTGATCAAGAGCTTCGGCTACCTCGGGAGCTTAATCGCAGCTGGAGGTTGGTTTGGGGAAAGAGATCATATCACGAATAGCGAAAGGTAGGGCAACTTTCGCCAACCTGCGAGACCTATGACGCCGCCGTGACATCCTTCTGTCCCTTAAGGTAAGGGTGTACATCGGCGCGGTCCGTAGTGTTCTGCTTTACGGTTGCGAGACCTGGCCTCCGAGCGGAGGATGTTAAACGGCTTTCCGTATTCGACCATCGATGCCTTAGAAGCATTGCTCTTGTCTGGTGGGAACATCGGGTGAGCAATGATGAAATTCGTCATCGTGTGCTGGGTACTGAAAGAAAGAAATCGTTCTACACTGCCTCAGATGACTCGGTCGTGTTTTGCGTATGCCTGCCCATCGACTACCTCGCCGTGCTCTCTTTTACGCTCTAGGCAAGGCTAGAAGAAGCGTCGCGGCGGTCAGACCATGACATGGCACCGAGGTATGAAGACGTTAGCTTCAGCATTGGCTTCGGTTAATGCAGCTCGCCTTCCAGGCTGGGGCCCAGGGGATGAGGATTGTCGATGGCTAGAGACGCTGAGAGATATGGCTCAGAGTAGATGTCAGTGGCACGATTGCTGTGCGGTTTGTTTGGTGAAACCCCGTTCCGCATAACAAAAAATCTTCAGAAAGTATACGATGAAGCTATAAAAAAACATTCATTCATTCGTTCTCCGTGTTCTGTGTTTTCCCCATTTTCATTTACTCTTTCTGTACCCCATCACAAGTTCATTACCATTGTTTTGGCCCCATGCGTGTTCTCAAGCTGGTGTAATATATAAATGTATATATATACTGCAGTTTGAAAAACCACAGACCACTACAGCAGAAATACCCGATCTAGTCCACAATACAAGAAGTAAACATTATAGAGCTAGGGTCGTTTCTCAAATCAATATTTCCTTGTTTATATCTCCTCTCGGAAGTGTGGTTGAAGGCATGAACCCAATGTATCTGACATAGTTCGTCATGCCAAAGGTCAGCGTTAGTGAGTCAGTAGCCCAGACCTAATTGTCTTTCAGTCATACAGTGGATGGCGCGTTGGTTTAGTCGCTGTCACTGGCGTGCTTTGGACCCTGTGGT